CTGTTATGTCACATCATAGAGCTGTCCTGGCCTAGGTGCCGGTGTTGCTTCCTGAGCCTGTGCTTTTCCTGCTTTTATGTTCTGGAGTCAGCAAGTGGGTTTGGAGGTGCTGGGCTATGTGTAAATGTGGCCAAGCTAGTGGAGTAATTGGTCCCCCACTTACTGGGTTTTGCATGAGGAAATCTTCCCTTGCCTACAGTACACAGTATGATTGACTTGCCTCAGAGTTGGAGTGGGATGGATATAGCCATGGCTGTACTTGGGGTGGTATGGCAAGCTAAGTCCCATGTTAGTGGCATCTTTACCATTGTGGAAAATTCCAAGGCACTTTCTCATTTTTTGAATAGATTTTGTGGTTGATGCCACCCGCAAAGGAAACAAGATCCGCTTTGCCAACCACTCCGTGAACCCCAATTGCTATGCTAAAGGTAGGAGCTCTGTGCCAACCTGCTGTCGGGCAGGGGCAGCTGGGAATTGCGGCAGTGACCAGCAATGTCTTTGGAGCCTTTCTGACATCTGGGAGTGCATGGCTGGTTTTGGAAGCATCCTTGGCACTGAGTGGGACTTTATACCTCTGAGCTTTGGAGGGAAGAGTTTTAAGGGAAAATATGTATATTGTACTTGCCTCTGCAGTGAGATGCTTCCCTGCTTATAAAGGCCCTGACCGGTCTTGCTAGGGCCCTGCTACTTTGTAGTGAAAGCCCATAAGCCCGTTCCAAAGAGAACTTCCAGCTCTTTCAAAGCCCTTCAGGAACCAGGAAGTGCCATTACTACCACAGGCCAGACTGACCTGTGGGGAGTCAGGGTTCTGGTGATGCCCAAATGCATGGTTTGGGCTGGAAATGCTGGGGCCTGATATCATGTCTCTTTTATCGCAGTTGTGATGGTGAATGGAGACCACCGGATAGGAATCTTTGCGAAGAGGGCCATCCAAGCAGGGGAGGAGCTCTTCTTTGATTACAGGTGATATGGGCAGCTCAGGGGAGTCTGTGGCTGGGTTTAGCTGTACCCTGTATTCACAGATTTATAACTGAGTAGTGTAGAAAAGCGACTACCTGTCAGCCTTCCTGTGTTGTAGGTACAGCCAGGCGGATGCCTTGAAATATGTCGGCATAGAGAGGGAGACGGACGTCATCTAGGCCCCTGTGGGGCAGGCCCCTGTGCACTTTGCTGCTACTGCACCTTGTAAGCAATGCCATGTTTGCTTCCATGCTTACATCATGGCTGCCCATGTTCGCGTCGCTGTGTGAGTCGTGAGTGCTGCATTCCATCCAGATGCCTGGGAGTGGAGCTATGAGGAGTGTGACAGTCGCTGCCAGATCCAAGCAGGAATCTTGCTCTAGTCCTGAGCCAGGGCAGAATTCAGTATTGTGTTTCATCAATGCTCTCCAGGGCTGACAAGAGGGGATTCCAGAAACCAGGTGGGACTGGAAGGCAGGTGACTGCATGGGAATGCTTTGAGTTTCCTTCCATCTACCAGATGCTGAAAGAACAAACCTGAGTAAGGTACAACCTGCTCGCAGCCTGTAGGGATGGTAATGCAGTGGCCCTGCCTGGCAGGGCTTGCCTTAGCAGGAAAATAGGTGGGGTGGCTGATGCCATTCCATTGAAAATTCTCCCCTGGAGCAAACGTTTGTTTCTGGTGTGTGTTTGGTGCTCTCTCTTGATTTCCTTTGCTGCTAATCAGGATGCTTGTTCACTGTTAGGAACCTTAGGGACTCTGGCCCATGCCCCAACAGCAAGGCTAAGTCAACTTGCCAGCTGTTGTGCCCACAAGGCTCTCTTCTTCCCTGCTGGCCAGAGGACAGAGACCAGATGAACCCTGTTTCTGCAATGGGGCCTTTCAATGTTATGCAATGAGTCACTTTGGTTATGGAAAGCAATTGTGCTGGGAAGAGATGAGCACATTGTTGCCAGAGGTGCAGAAGGAGTTGGCAGGGAAAATGGGATGTGAAGACAGCTAGTTCACAAGGCCCCTTCCTACCTGCCCCTACTTCTGTGCCTGCCTAGTGGCCAGGCTCAGGAAAACGATGGATGAATGTTGCCCATTTCCACTGGCTGTGCCATCTGGGCCCTCTTAATATGTCAAGACACACAAAGCTCTAGGGGAATTGGTCCAGGACCTGGGCTCTGTTCAGCCCTGATGCCCTCATTAGTCTCTGTTCTGGCTGTCACTCTCCCATTGAATGTTTCCAAGCTACTCAGAGGTGCTGTGCCTGGGGCCTTCCTGGAAGAGCCATCTAGATTGGCAGGGCCTCGTGCTGCTCTGTTCTGATGGGCATGGGCTGACCTTCTGGGGAAGCTGTTGGATGAACAATGTCCCACAGTACATGGCCCCTCTGATACAGGGAAAAGCTGAAGGAACAGATATCCTTGCTGGGAGTCAACAAGCTGGTTTAGGAAGGCCTGCTGCTCCAGAGGTATCTGGCATGGCACAGGAATGTGCTGATTAGGTGCTCTGACTGCAGCACTGAATCTGTTTCCTCAGTCCAACCTTGCTGCCGCAGCATCCAATCATGGCTTCCCTTCTCACAGTTACCAATCCTGGGTGCTGTCTGAAGCACCTTGCCAACCCATTGGCACAGCCTCCCCTTCATGGCTATGGCCTCTTCCATTGCACAGAGCTCTTCCTTGACTGCCATTGCTGTTGCCATGTTCTGAACAACATCAGCATATTGCTATTTTGGCAGTGTCTGAGCCCAAAGGCTGCCTCAGAGGCTGCCTAAGGGCTCTGTCGTGAGACCCTGTCCCAGGTGTGGAGATTGCTCTTGAGCTGAAAATGCAGGGGCTAGATCTTAGCATCCCCTGCAAAAAAAAACAAACAAGGAAGCACATTAAAATAACCCTCCCCAGCCAGCAGCTGGGACTCTTCCTCTTTCCAAGGAGCTTCTGGGTTGTAGAAACCACGTGAATCTCAGCCCCTGCTTTTCCTGTTCCTTCTCCTGCAGGCTGTGGGGGAGCTGGGAGGAGTCTTACCCCAAACAGGAAGAAATACTGGGGGAGGCACCCTCATGTCTGTATGTACAAGTACTTGGGTGTTGGGGGAGAGGCATCCAGAGTCCCAGCAACCACATGATGCAGAGGACAGGCTGTGATGAAGGGGAGCCTTCTTGCCTGGCCCCTCAGTCCTCTCCTTTCCAGACATAGTTCTGGTTCTTCCCAGCTTTTCTGGTGTATTGCTGGCATGTGGCAAACACACGCATATACAGTCAGGAGAAGGGTTTGAAGTGGACTTGGAAGAAGCTAGGGTCTACCACTAGATTCTTAGTTGTGCTGTTGCCTGCATAAGGATCTTTGAGATTGGGGTGATGGCACTAGCACATCCAGGACAGGTGGAGTTGGGCAGCAGCTGTGAGGGTGTCCCTGAGTGCACAACTGGAATTGAGCCATCAGGGACCCTCTGAGTACAATACAAGGATGGGAAGTGGAGCCTGCCTCACTGTCCAGTGCCATCAGTCTGGCATGGTAAGATAAGAATAAGGAGGTCTTTTACTGAGTGAGCACTGAGGGTGAGTCCTGAGTCAAGCACCCAGCCATGCACAGGCAACATCTCTTGTTTGTTACTAAAGATGGAGGACTGGGCTGTGATACAGGGGAGATGGGAGCCTGGGTCTAGTCCTGTGCAGATGCTTCTCCAGGCGCAGGCACGTCCAGTGCATTTAATTTTCAGGATTGGAGCTGCTGCAGCTGGCTGCTGAGGGTCCCAAGGGCTTGTCTGGGCTGTGTGCCTCCTCTCTGCTGGGGCTGCTAAGCACAGGACTTGCCCCTGGGTCTTGCTGGAGTTCAGGTCTGTTTGGAGCAGGCACTCTTGTTCTTCCTGTATCTGCCTGAAAGCCAACTCTCTCCCCTGCTTTATTATACCCTTGTCCACATGGCTGGTCCCTGCCCTCTGTGTCATTAAATGTTCCTCGGCAACTTTGGCCATATCTGCACTGCAAGAGGCTTTGTGTCTGTGGCTTGCTGCCAGTGAATTATATGCACTTTAAAAATCATGTGGCTTGTAACCTTTGTCATAATAAAGTGGTAGTGAACATCCTGTGTCCAGCCACTGCCTCTGTTCCTGTTCCCCAGAGAGGAGCTAACTTACCTGCATGCAGTCTGCAGCTTGGTCTACACATGCACTGGCCAGAAAGCTGCTGGGCCAGCAGCTCCAGAACATGATACATGGTCAGCATGGTGTCTGCTGTTCTCTGAGCAGCTGGCTTAGAGAAGGGTGAGTGAGTTGAGTGCAGCCTCTACCTGCTAACTCATTGACTAGCCCTTATTGAAGCCCCATGTTTACAGCCAGGGGAGCTGATGATGCTCTGTTTATTGTTAAGCACTAGTCTGCAGTGCTGCTTGGCTCCCCAGTCACGATCTCCAACCTTAGCTGCAGCTAATGCCCAGTGCTTCTGAGAGGCAAGAAAAAACCCTGTCATATAGCAATGAGAGGGGAAAAATCTTCTCAGCTTCATATGCCAGTCAGCTGCACTGTTACATGGGAGAGGGGAGGCTGGTGGGTAATGAGTCTGTTGGAAGACCCTGGACCAGTCCTTCAGCTAGAGCAAATCAAAGCTCCACTTTCCCTGGGGCTGTGCTGAGGAGTCCTACAATGCCCTACCTATCCATCTCTGCTGCTGTTTTCTCAAGGGCTTCAGCATTCCCCTTAGGTAAGCACAGACCTGCAGCCTTGGGGACTGCTGTGCAGGGTATTTCAGTTCATGTAGATGCATTCTCCTTGACTCCCAATGTCCTTTGCCTCCAGAAGGAGCTGTGTGTACACAAGAGGCAGTGGAGCTGAGCTGAGGGGGGGAAGCTCAAAGGACAGAGCCTTCCATGGGCAGAAGGGGAGTGCTTAGAGCATTTCACTCTCCTTAGTGGCTTTCTGCCAGGAATCAGCATGGCTGACAGCTAGCAAAGGAGTGTGCTCAGTCTGTTGCCCTAGCAGTGTAGGCTGTGTCACTCCTCTGCCTCCCACTTCCCCTCTCCCCACATCCAGTGTGAGGTTGGGGAGTGTGTCCAACGCTATCATTCTGCATTTATTTGAATATCTTCACACTTCATTCAACAAAACAGATTTTTCAAAAATAAAGTGCCTGGTGGAGCCAGGCCTTTGGGAAGATAAATGCATTTCTGTAACATCTCATAACAATGAAGCGTGTGACTGACACTTTCACTGGGTTGGAAGTTATCAGCACGACTAGCACTTCTTACAGAGAAGTAGCAAACTACAGACCATTTACCACAACACTCACTTGAAATGTAGCATCTGACGTTAAGTTTTGTTTTGTTGTTTTTTTGTTTGGTTTTGGTACTTTTTTATACAAAGTGACAGAATAAAAAAACCCAGTGAGTAATAGAGAACTTGACAACAAAAATGGTAGAAAGAATCAGATGGTCTGTACCTGATTGTATGGAAGCAGCATCTCAGCAAAGTGCAGGCTCATGCATGGCAGCAGCTGCCACTGCATATACTGGCAGGGATATTGCACAGGTTTCAGAGCACGACCTAAGGATTGTGCTCATACGCTCTATGTTGCATGGTTCACTTAATGGCTTTTGCTAAGCAAGTAAACAAGCAGGTAATCTAAGTGCTATCTTTGCTAACCAGACATGTGGAAGGCCAGGCTATACTGTAGTGCATATTCCCCCTACAAAACAACAGGTTTGGAGCATGTAAAATAGACACAAGCATGTCTCCTCAACTGGGGCCATGCCTGGCTGGCTGTGTGGAAAACAGCCTCTGTAAGCCTGGGATGGGCAATTTTACAGGTCACAGGTGTATAGCCCTGTCCCAGCCTGGGCTCAGAAAGCAGCTTCATGTTGATGCATGGGCTGCAATCTTTCTGTGGGAGTTGGGAGAAGTTTTGGCTGCAGCTTGACCCCCAACAGAGGGGGAAAGGGAAGGGGAAGGGGCTTGCAGCTTGGTAGGTGCAAACCACAGTGGGCAGAGCCACCTGGCATATGACTTCCACCATGTGTCTGGGCTGAGGACATGGGGGCTGGCCTTGATGTATAATAGGAGGAAGACGCTCCTCACACAGGTGGCTCACAGGCTATGCAAGGCACAGCCCCAAGCAACGCTGGGTTTGATGTGGGCAGGTAGAAGCAGCACAAGAGGAAGGCGTTGCTGCCCCAGTCCAGCATTGGGTTTTGGCAGTTCGGGTTCAATTGGCATTTTGGTCCCGCAACGCTCACTACCCTCCTGGCCATGGCAGGAGACGCCTTCCAATACTGCTTCTGGGAGAGGAACACCTCTGGCGAGTCTCCTGAGGGTGCAGGATGCCAAGTGCCTGTGGAGCTAACCCTTCCCCTCCACCCAGCCCTGTTCCAGCAGCTAGTCACTTTTTGCCTCCTCGAGGATCTGGGGCAGGTTCTGGTCCTTGCGGCTGGCAAGGGGCTTGACCGCACTGCTGTAGTCCTGAATGGCTTTTGGCTCGTTGGTGTGGTATGAGCCCTTGTAGCGGTGATAGTAGAGATACAGTAGCACCAGTAGGCCACCAAGGAGCAGCAGCAGAAATATCACAACTGGAAGAGGAAGGAGAACAGCGCTAAGCATATTGGCAGGGCTGGGGGCCTGACAGCAGGGTATGGAGGGCACCCAAGACTTTGAGCCATAGTCCAGCATTGCCAGGGCCAAAAGGCCCTGCTTGTAGCTGGAAGGCACTACTCGCCCAGCCCCCTCTGCTCTTTGATCATGTCCTACCCCTGAGCAAATTGGGCTGGTGCCACACCAGCATGGGGCCTGTGCAGAACCACCCCACAGGGGGAAGAGGGTAAAGGCTGTTAGACGGGTTTGAACACAGCAGGGAGTCACTTACATCCAATGATTATCCCAATCCAGCCGTCATCATGCACATGAGGGAACTCTGCAAAAGACAAAGCAGTAGCTGCAGGGACAACACTGAAAGGGGACAGGGCTGGGCTAACAGCACCAGCAGCTAGCTGAAGCAGCTTGATAGGGAGGAGCCAAGAGCTGGCATCAAGGGAAGGATCTGGGGATGTTCTTTCCACTACCAAGCCCCTCCCATGAGCACAGTCCAGACCAATCCCGTACCAGCACACTCCCCTGGCTTGCCCCAAAGAGTCCCACCAAGACAAAGAGGGCAGTGCAAGTCCTTACAACCAGAGAAAAGAACTTCTCGCACTAGTGCCCCTTACTGCTGTGCCACCTGCCCTGCTTGTTGGGGAAGGGCCCTAACCCAGAGCCTGAAGAACTGGGAGGGGCAAGGCAACAACTCTCCAGTTTGTCCCAGAACATCTAGTGGGAAGGCCCACCAGAGGCCAAGCAGAAGGGACACACCTTGGCTGTCATCTTCCTGGAGCAGAACCTAGGAGTCCTGGCTCCCAGCTCTGATCACTAAAGTTGTGCAACCTCCCCTTCCCTCACTATGCTCCAGTCTCTACCATGTTGGAGGACCCCTTGTAGTACAGCTGCCCTCTAGGCTACAGAAGCGCTAACAGGTGCAGTGGTGCAGACAGCCTGGCACAACCTTGTCTGGGTTTTAGAGGCAGGTGTCAAGAAAGGGCCCTACCTGTGCCCATGTACCAGGGATCCATCTCCGGGGGGATGGGCATGGTGCTGAGAGGCATGGATGCACAGTTGGACTCCACCAACTCCCCCCGGATATTGTAGTGCACCATCGTGCTGCTCGGGCGGAAGATGGACTTGAGAGGCACAATGGTGTTAAATTTCACCCCTGAGAGGCAGCCGGAGAAGCCAGGTGTGTTGTACCTCTGGATCTCTGGGTCAATCACGCCTGTCTCTACACAGCACAGAGAGGGAGGGGTTAATCAGTGCCCCAGGGCACCTCCTCACCACCCTGTATGAAACCAGAATTGGGAATGGCTCTAGGGAGATCTCCTGGAGGGAAAGGGAACAGGACTGGAGGGGTACCTTTCCCTGCAGCAGGGAGCATGCAGTGGCAGGCTGAGGTGGGGTGGGAGGGAGCCATGGCCCCTGGGAGGGGGGCACCAGCTGGGCCCTTCCAAGTTCTTATTGTGCAATGTGACTAAGTATTGCTACAAGAAGGGGGCGGGGGGGGGGAGAGGTGCTAATACAAGCATTGGCCCCTGGGTGCCAGAGACCCACAGCGTGTCACTGGGAGCATGGCTCTCAGCCCGAGATCTCTTGAGCATATACTGACACCTGCTACAGAAGCACGATGTTGGTTTCTGTGGTCCCCTTGCTTTACCTGTGGCAGGTCAGGGTGTTAGGTCTTGTGGTGTGTCAGGGCTGACAGCAGTTTTACTAAGAGGTAGACAGTGGATTTTTATGGATGGTTTAGATCTGGATGATCCTGCCTCGGTCAAGAGGGTTGGACTAGGAGACCTCTTTCAGCCCTACTTCTCTAGGATTCAAATGAAAGGAGGGGACCTGCCCTGATAAGGGGAATGGGCCATTCCAGCCCCTAGAGAGCAGGTAGGGGGCTTCCCAGCAACTCTGTGGTGTAGAGGAAATGTCTCCATCAGGGGCAGCACAGGAAGCAGGGAGTTCCCAGCCCTCATGGCAGGCAAAGGTGTCAGGGGAGGGAAAGCAGTTGGGCCCTGGGAATAGGTCCCCAGGCCCCACTCACCCATCACACGGCCCAGGTACAGGTTCTTGGGTGAGTCCAGCTTGCTGTCCACGAAGAGGGAGAACTGCTGTTCCACGACAGGGAAGAAGTCCACCTAGGGCCAAGGCCAAGAGCACAGGCCCCATCAGCACCACCATAGCCAGCTTCCTCTAGGGGTTAGTCCCAGAGGGCAGCTTTGCTCCCTTGACTCCACCCATCCTTGCTGGCACGAACTACAGAAGACCCAGGCAAGAAAGCCTCATTCTTTCCAGTGCCCCATTGTCCCTGCCTCCCGTAGCAACTCTGTCCAGCAACAGCCCAACTACTATGCCAACATTCCTTCCCTAATGCCCGCTCCATGTCACCCTCTGGAGCCGATCCCCAACCCCTGGTGTCCAAATCCCAGTGAAGCCCCTTTCTGCATAGGGCCAATTGGCACAGCCCTCCCAGCCTGCATAGATGGCCCCTGCCCGGTGCAGCCCCCACAAGCCCACCAGGCACCTGTGTGTAGAGTGTGCGGTGGACACGGGTGATGTTGACGCGATGGGGCCTCCCATCTGTCACAGGTTTGGTGGTCAGTGCGAAGACATAGGGGCTGGTGCCCAGCTGGTACCGCAACTGCAGGCTGCCTGCCAAGGCAAGACTCAGAGTGTGATGGGGGTGCTGAGGGGTTGGGAGCTCCAGGGGGAGGTTTAGCTTCCCCTGCCTTATCAGAGATTTGCCACAGCTGTGACAGGCTGCTGAGTGCTCTGAACAGGTGCAAAGCCTCCTCTCAGGTGCCTAGCTCCTGTGTCTTGTTCTCATACACAGGGCCCAGCTGATGGCCAGATCTGGGGTCAAGGCATTTCTGGCCTGTGGATTCCAGGGCACTTGGCCTGGATGGCGGAACGGTCCCTTCTGGCCTCAAGCTTTATGAGCCTGCAGACAGAGCCTCCCCACAGCAGACAGGGTCTGAGATCCCCAAGGCCAGAAGGGAGAAAAGTGTAGCTAACAGCTCCAGTCAGGGCCCCTGAGAAGGAACGAAGGCTGATAGGAGAGTGGGATAAAGGGGAGCCCTGAGACAGGGCAGGCAGGGCAGGCAGGGCAGGGCTTGGCACCTCATCCCCCAGACTCACCATCATCCTTGATGAGCACAGCCATGTAGTCCTTGACAAAGGAGCTGACGTAGAGCAGCACAGCAGGGGCGGAAGTGGTGCTGAAGCTGAAGCTGACCTCCTCACTTGTCAAGTTGTAGCCAGGCAGGGGCTGGCTCACAATACTGGCGAACTCGTGGGTAGCATAGAGTGAAGCTGACAGGATGTTGTAGCGAACCCAAGTGCCCTCCTCGAAGTAGCCACCAATATCTGTGGGGCAGGGGCAGGTGGCCACAGGGGCAGCAAGGCAGGAAGGTAGCCACAGTGGCAGTTACACTCCTGCCCCTACATCTCAGCTGCCCAAGGAAATGGGGTCCATCCCACTCCCCAGCATGCAGGTACCACAATAGCACCTGGCCACAGTCATGCTCTTATACAGGAACAACATGCTGCTTCTTGCACTCTGTTTTCTGGGCTGGCACTTGTGCCATGGATACCCCTGGCTAACCCCTCCTGCCCCAACCACCATAGCCCTCACCTTGGCTTAAGGCCTAGCAGCTGCACCCTACAACTTCTTGCCTACCCCCACCAACTCTTCTCGTCCTGGCCCTCACTTCTGTCCTCAAGTTCACAGGTGTGACTCCACAACTCAACCTGTCCCCATCCCCACACCCATGGCCCAGGCAGCACTGACCACGGTTGCAGAAGGGCCCGTCGAAGGCAGAGATGCTGCAGTTGCAGGTGTAGTGGCTGTAGCGCTCCACGCAGAGCCCGCTGTTCTGGCAGGGCACCCGCGGGTTCTGGCAGTAACCGGTGCAGTTCACCCGCACACCCTCCGTCTCATTAGCCTTGCCCTCCAGGTTCAGTGTCACACCATTCATGCGCAATCCCCGAAGGCAGCCCAGGAAGGGACGCAGCTTGTGCTCAGCTGCCCCTGGCACCAGGAAGATAGCGTCAGCACAGGCTCAAGCCCCCTCCAGCACTGGGTTGCCAGACAACTGGTGCTACCAGAGTGGCGTTGGCCCCTGACCTGTTCCCTGGCAGAAAGAGTTGGCTCATGCAGGCTGAGTTCTGTCTGCCTCTCAGTGGGGTCAGCCCATTCCTAAGCCATTTACCTCCCTACTATCCTCTGCCCCAGAGCTCAGGGTCTTGGGAACACCCTGGTGCCCCACAGTCACTTGGAGGGGTGACCTTTCTCACCTGAAAGATGGGAAAAGCAAAGTACTGAGAGAAGGGCCACAACCAAGGTCACACAGGGGAGTCAGAAGCGGAGCGTGGGGTAGAGCCCAAGTGTCCTAGCTCAGTACCTCCCCCAGCTTTCACCAGTAGTCAGTGCTGCATTGACACTAATACTGCAGCTTGGTTAAAGAGCAACCTTACTACAGCAGCCCAGGGGATTCCTTTGCCTTGCCCCAAACCAGTGTGCCAGGGCTGGGACTTATAGGGCTCAGTGGGACATCTTCTGCCTCTGAAGAGTAACTGCAATTGCTGTTATTTGCTTCTGCCCAAGGAAGAGCGAGATTATGGGGGCAGATTTTCTAAGAATTTCTGGTGAGATTGTCTGGGTAAGTCTGCCAGCTCTGAGAATCCCACAGATGGGGAGGGCTAAGGGGTGGCAAGGAAGGGTTCCTCCTTTCCCTGCACTCACCGACATGAAGGGGCTTGTCAAACTCCAGCTGTACGTAGGTCTGGGGTGGGGCTGCCCGCACAACCCAGGGCAGCTCATCTACTCGCAGTCGTACCATCTTCACATTGAGCTCGGCCTGCACCCAGTGCCATTCGTCATTATTGAAGGGGAAGATGGAACTCACTGTCAGGTTCTCGTGCCCATTCCCAATGTCATAGGCAAAGAGCACATCCCTGGTAGCTGCGCAAGGAGGAGACATCAGTTCCCAGGAGGCCTCTGTGCCACTGCTCCCAACCCTGGGCTTCTTACTGAAGAGGCCCTAGTCCTGGCTCTTCCCAATGCCAGCTCCTTCCTATTCTTCTCAGCTAGCCCTGTTGTGCCAGCACTGGAAACTCAGCCCAGAGTCTCTAGCCAAGCTCTGGCCATCCCATCAGAGCCCCCAACCCTGTGCTGAGGCAGGCCCAGCCACTTACTGTTGAGTTCAACACGGATATAGTTCTTGTAGCCTGAATTCTCCAGAAAGACGCCAGACAAGGAAGTGGTTTTGAAGTAGAAGGAGATGTCAAGGCTCTGGTTGACGTGGAAGGTGGGGAAGAGCAGGACGGTGCCTTTGTTGAAGGAGACTGTGTTCCAGGTATTCCCTGCAAGAGACAGGAAGGTCAAAGCAGGGCCCTGCACACTGTGCCCAGCTCGTAGCTGGACCAGCAACAGGGACCCAGGGGCTGGCCCTGTTCCCTGTAGAAAGCCCCAGGACTTTGTGACCTGTACCAGCACCCAGCCACAGCCCTTTCCTCCACAGCAAGCACTCACGGTCTCCGTAGCACCGCAACGGCCCCACCAGAAACTGGGCCTCTGAGCTGGATCGGTTGGTATCTCCAACCACAACCTGAGTGACAGGTAGGTGATCCACGAAGTTCAAGAGTCCCTTGTCTACCCTCCTGCAGCCAGAGCCAGTGGGGCAGGGGAGTGGAAATGGGAGAAGCTAGTATCACAGTGGAGCTGGACCCAACCCCCAGCATACCTTCTACGGTGTTACTCTGGCCTACTGTCTGCCTGCCCATAACCTGAACCAAGTCAGCCTGCATTCCCATGGTGTCCCAGCCTCCCACTCCCCAACCTTCCATGCTGCCTCAGCCTATCTCCAGATGCCCCATACTACTGCAGCCTAAACTCCCTGGCTACCCTGTACCAAACTGCTGGTGCTGTTCCCCAGCAACCCCTTCTTTGGCTGTTATGTTTCCCAGCCGCTCTGCTGACACTTCATACTGCTTCACTCCTCCCCAGTAGCCCCTCCTGGTTCCTCCATCACAGTCACATCCTGCTGCCCTGACCAATTCCTTCCCTGGTCCAGGGGTATGGGACTTACCAAAGGGCATGGTCAGCATCACAGTTGCAGAAGAACCTGGAGTCAGCACAGTTCTTGTCCAGGCCACAGGCACAGCGCTGGATGCCCGGACGTGAGCCTCCCCAGTAGTAATGGCCCTGGTTATGGCGGCCCATCCAGAAACTGAAGGGCAGCCCAGCTGGGGACAGGATGCAGAGATGGGAGGTGAAGGACATGGGCCTGGAGTTACTTGGTGCTGACTGCAGGACAGCCTCAAGGGAATGCCTGGCAGACTAAAAGGGGGCATGGAAGCACCAGGGCAGCAGACTCTACCCAGAGGGAAGCATTGTCCTCTGTCACCCAAGGGCAGCCCCACAAGCTAGATGGCCCCCGCCTCAAGTTAGGGGTCAATGCCCCTGGCTCTGCTCTGTCAGCCCTCCACACCTACACACTCACTGGCACACAGTGATGTGGTGACCCAGCTCCCTGTCACACCCTTGCCCTTCCAGCCCGCCCCCCCCGACATGGTAGCAGTGACTTTCCTACAGCAGACATGCTTGCATGCACTTGCCCATGGCACACTCACAGGGTGTGTTGAGCAGGCGGGAGTTGTAGCAGGAGAACTCAATGCGCTGCTCGCAGTATTCAGAGGCATTGGCCAGGGCCGACACCTCAGCCCACGAGGCATTCCAGTACTCCACTGCCCCCAAGTAAGGCCGGTCCACACTGGAGCCTAACACCCGTGTGGCATAGTGCCGGTTGTGCCGGATGATGGTCCATGCTCGATCCTCTAGGGAAGGGCCAGAAGCCCCCGTGAGAACAGACTGGGAGCTCCTGACCCCCAAGCCTCCTACCTTCACTTCAACCCCATCCCTCCATCCCTACCACCCCAGTTCCCTCATCTCCATCCTATCCCTGCTTCAAGCCCCACCCCAGACCTACGTCCATCTGAGGAGCAGGGGCTGTCACTCCCTACAGCCTCACCACAAAGGGCAAAGTAATACTGTTTCTGATGTGGAAACCCTTTCCCTGGAACTGGGCTGAGACTGCATACACAAGTGGTACCTATGTGTTTCCTCCCAGGGAGAGGCTCCAGATCCAGTTCCCCAACCCCCGCCAAAGGGCTAGATGGGAGAGGCCTGGCTTGGAGGGGAAAAGCTCTATGCCCTGTTCCCCACCCTTACAGCCAGCTAGTCCCCCCACCTGGAGCTCGATAGGGACCTTGTGTTCCATTTCTGGAACACAAGCCCCTTGTTGCCACTTATTCCCAGTACCTCTCATATCGCAGTACACAGTGAAGGGCTTGAGGGGCCCACTGCCATCAGGGTCAATGGTGTAGTTCCCAGCTGTTTTCCCACTGAGCCGATATGCTTCACATGATTCTTTGTAAATGGCTATAACAAGGAACCAACAGGCTGGGTTAGAATACTGAGGAAATTGGGCAACCTGCCAGGGGCTGGGAATGGCTTCATGACAAACCCAAGTCCCCATCCCCAGGGGCTCACGTTTGTGGCAGGGCTCTCCCCTGTATCCCCTTAGGGCACAGATGCAGATGAAATCATCCCAGGACTGCAGGCAACGACCACCATGCTCACAAAGATTGGGGGTGCACCTGGCAAGAGCAGAGGCAGGGGAGCAAGGGGGGACTAAGCTCAGACACCTTGTGCCACTCTGATGCTTACTGAGACAATCTGCCAATGCAGGGGGTATATAGAGCAGGGACCCCCCCTCAACAAGGTTTACAGCTACCCAGGCTAGGCAATCTGCTCCATCTACCACTATCAGCAGACCTGCACCAAAGGAAACTGTTCACAGGTAGGCAGCACAGCACAGTGTGGAGGACAGGAAAGGTGATTCTCACTGCTGGAGGCAATGAGGTCCACACAGAGATGCAGTGACTTACCCAGGTAAGTCAGTGACAGGGCAAGGACAGGAGCCCAGGTCTCCTGAGTTTCTCCTATCCCCACTGCAATGGGTACCCCTTTGTCTTCCTTCCTCTGAAGGAGGGTAGCAGTGGGGAGGCTTGCCCTTTATGGGCAGGCCAGCTGCTTCCAGCTTCCCCATTTCAAAAGTGTGTAAAGACCAAGCTAGAGCAGAGCAGTCAGCTGCTCTCTGCAGGCAGCCCCGAGTCAGAGAAGCTGTGGGACAGTGGGCAGAGTAGTAAATCTAGGCAGCTGTGGTCAGGGCCAAAGGCCACATGGTTGAGGGCACAAGGTTGCTGAAACACTCCACCCCAAGCTGAAATAGTAAGAGTAGATGGCAGTGCTAAACAACCCTTCTATTTAGCCACTACACTACTGTCCCTTCAAGGGTTGGCAGAACTGAAGGAGAGCCAGCTCAGCAATACATCTTAAGGGGCACAAGCTGGGCTCAGAACAGCTGCCCTGTCCATCCATCGATCTGATGTGGTACCTGTCCGTGATGCCACACATGTCAAAGAACACATCCGAGTACTTTCCCAGGCGGTGATATTTCAGTAACTCCAAGTCCACGGGCTGTGCGTCCACACTGATCATCTGCAGGCAGCCATGGAAAGTAGTCTGGTTCGATAGGCAGCCAGTGATGGAGGCAGGCTTGGGGCAACCTGGATCATTGAGAAGACAGATGGAGACAGAGAGAGTGCTGCCAATGGTTTGAACCTCCCTTGGCCCTGCCCCCTCTCCTTTCATCCCCCCTAGCCTGGGCCACTCACCCCCAAAGAAGTACTGGCTTCCGGTGCGCAGCTGGAAAGGGTGCGCCACGCGGAACTCTGCCCCATCATCATCATCGATGGTTACCACGGCTGAGCCATCCCGTGCCACCAGCAGCACTGAATGCCAGAAGCCATCATTGAGGCGGTACCCTGGAAGCAAGGAGGAGTTGTACGTGGGGTTTGGTGATGGGGGACATGGTGGGCAAATGGTCTGCTGCCCCCCATCAGCCCCCAGGAGCCTTCACGTAACCAGCAGCAAGAATGGGAGACAATTCCCTGCCAAGGCCCTGGGCCTCCCAGTACAAGTCCCTGATGGACAGGCCTCATGGGCCCCCAGCCTTCTTTCCCGAGCTCCTGTACCTGCTGCAAACTCCAGCTTCTTTTTGCCAGGCTGGGCAATGGAGACATTGATCTGGCCCTCACTTAGCACCATCTCCAAGGAACCCAGACGATCAGCAAAGCTGGTGTACATCAGTAGCCCCACCATATCCCAAGAGCGGAACTTGAAGCTGACAGACATACGGTTCCTGCGTGGGATCCCTGGTACCTGCAGGTAGTTGTTGATGCCTGCGAAGGTGATGGGTGCGTAGGGTGGGTTCTCGCAGTAGTGGCCGACGCGGCCCTGGAAGCAACCATACAAGACCCAGTGAGAGCCACATGTAACAGAGAGCTGGTAGCTCCTGTTACTTTAAGAAGAAAAGCTGCAGCTAGAGAGGCCAAGCAGTGGAGAGGCCTATCAGGGTAAATGGTAACACCTGCTCTATGCCTAGAGGAAGCTCACTGCAAGGAAACAGGCAACTGGAAACCTGAGGTCATGTTAGGGAATCACCTGACCAGACAGTGGCTGGACTTGAAACAGGCAAGCCCAGGACCTGAGTTGGCCAGGAAGCTAGCTCTGTAGGCTGCTACATAAAGAGCTCTGGGCCAGAAAGACTGCTGGGGAATGCCAGGCTGACTTGAGAGCTGTTCTTAGTGCTGCCAGCCAAATACTAGTGCCTTACAAAAGGACCACAACCCTGGGTAAGGGAAGACCTGGCTTCAAGGTAGCTAACTACTGTTGTGGAGTGGCTACACCTAGGGCAGGTTAAGTTTGCTACAGCTTATTACTGGCAATTTGAGAAGGACTGTGAGGAGTGTGGGGGGGAGGTTTGGAGGTCCCATTAGTGCCCTAGGGGCACCTGATGGCCTTGAAACCTGCTAGGGCTCAGCCAGAGCCCGGAGCGGGGCAGCATGTGGGGCACCCAGAGCCTGGCAGGCAGGGGCCAGGGGCCTGGTACCTAAGAGGGCAAGACTAGAACTGGTGCCTAGAAGCCAGGTCTAATACAGCGGGCCCAAGCTAGAAGGTTCAGCTAGAGAAAAGGGGTGGAGGCTGAAGCCCCAACAGGAGAGTGATGGTACAGCAACACCTGCAAGGCATGGGCGTAGGTACTGGGGAGGACAGAACCCGAGCAATTGGCCCTTAAAGGCAGTGACCATAAACACCTGTGGTCACAAGGCCACAATCAGGCTTGGGAAGCCCTAGGGCAGCCTTCCTGGTTTCTAAAAGACTATCACATCAAGGTCTGGTGGGTTAGTGAAGGGGAGTGCACTCATGAAAGACAAAGAAACCAGGGGGCATTGTGGCCACCAGGACCTAGCCCCCTAATCCTGACTCAGTGGCACCATAGCCACGTATCTTGCTGCTGTGAAGAGGGGCAGGGACAGGGGGTTACAGCGCAGCTACTTCCTGACCCAGGAGACTACCCCACCAGCCATGGAAAAGGTGGCTGGCATTGCTGGAGCTGGGCAGGGCTAGCAGACAGGAACTCTGCTCTTCACTCCTGTCTGGCATAGGTCTAGACTCTAGGGCTGTGTTCCCAGGGGTGCAGGTGGCTGTTCCCCTTCCTGATGGGGGTGAGGTGATGCTCCCAGGGTAGTGCCGACTACAGAATGAGGCTGGGGCCACTTCCTTGCAGGAAGAGATTCAACCCCCTAACAGAGGAGTGGGGTAGGGCACAGGTCTGCTATCACATGGCTGATATGGACAAGGCTCTGGGATGCAGCTCCTCATGGCACAAGTACCTTAACATCCTCCTGACCCTGGAAGGCCCCCCCCCCACAAGTGGCTGCCTACTGGCATGAAGGAGATTCTGGGATTGAGGAGACTGTGACTGAATGGAGTTTGGCAAGATGCCAAATGCCTAGTTATGCTGGGCTGGTCCCTCTTCCAGTACTGAGCATATCCTAGGAAAGGAGCCCAGAGCCCTCAGCCACCCTCTGCTCATCATAAGAGCTTAGGGATTGTGAAGGATTTCGGCTGAGCTTGAGTAACAGGGCATGGGACTATGGAGAGCCCTGCAGAGAGGCAGCTGACATGAGACCCTTCCCTGGCAACTCAAATGTATGGGCTCGTTCAGGCTATGGGGAGCAGTTGTGACCTATCTGAAGCCCTCAGCAGCACTGACCCATCTGAAGCCTCCATGGTGAGCTCATTCCCCATCACTCCTGCTGCCTAGTGACAGTAGCCGATGGCCTCAGGCCCAAGACGACCTTTCAGGATTGATCTGGGGCGGTTCACCGAGTTCTAGGCCGGCCAGCTACTGGCACTGGGCCAGCTGTAGCTTCAGCCTCATCACTGAGCTCAGGCTGATGGCCCTCATCCTTGTAGACAGAGACTCTGCCACGCAAAAGGTCCCCAGGCCAAGGGACAATCCATGGTTCTCTTTTCCCAGCTGCCCTCTCCCAGTCTTCCAACCTCTTCTCCCTGTCCAAGCCCCTCACCTCAAAACGGATGTTGGACTTCTTCCTGCGAGCCAGATCAGCAATGTGGGCACCATTGAAGTAGATGTTTTCTATGCAGCCCCGGAAGTTCTGCCGATAGACCAGCCTCTGCTTCTCCTGGTTGACCACACCCCCAAAGAACACCTGTGGGGAAGGAGGGACACATGACTGGGGCACTGCTCACTGTCTGTATGGATGGGATGGCATGCCTGCCTTGCAGGGACCCATTCCCACTCTCTCCTCAGCTGGGTTGGGGAGCTCTGTCTAACTGCTAAGCCATATCCTGGGCCCCCTCTCCCCAGTCAAGGGGTATCCCCCTCATTAATCCACACCCAGCTCAGAGTGGAGATCTCCCATAGCACAGGGAGGGCCCTGGTTATGATCTGCTACTGGCTTACCTCCAAATCTTGGCTTAGAGGGCATCACATGGTACAGGCTGAGCTGCCTGCAGCTGTTGTTCCAGCAGTGTCATAAGTTGTGTCTGACCCCTTTGCAGCTGCTTGTGGGAGGATGTTATCACGGCCTGGAGCCTAGGCAGAGCTATGAGCTGAGGGGGAACACCCATGGCACTATGGCCAAGCCTCCCCTGCAGGGACCTCTATACTGCTCTGGCTGTGCTCTGTAGCAGGAAGCATCTCCACCTGCTCCAGCTGCAGCGCCCCCCTCCACCGCACCTGCCAGAATGGCTCACCTCGGTGTCAAGGTTCAGCTGGTCAAAATCCCCATTGCAGCGGAAATGTTTGACTACCCCATCCAGGGTCAGGTTGACATGTTGGCCGTAGCGATCAATATGCAGTGAATGCCAGTGCTGGTCATCCAGGAGGCTACCCACTGTCACTGTTGTGTGCCCCTCACTGGAGTGCAGTGGGCTGCTTCCTAGGGAGGGCAGTCAGTCACTCTACTGTCCATAGGGGTGGGTACTTAGAGAGCACTCGGCCCCACTGCTGCTGAAAGCTCACCCCTTCCTGTTAGCCCCCAGCCCCTCAACCTGACAGAGCACCACTACCACTGTCCCCTGAGGCTCACCTAAGCTGATGTGCAATACCAGCTGGGCCTGTTTCAGCTCTACAGTGATGTAGTCACCCTGCGAGCCCTCCCCGTGCATCAGCACCCCGTCCCGCTCCAATGTCTTGAAGTTGAAAGAGATGGTGTCCTGCAGGGTGCTGACAGTCTTGCCTCGGAATCGGTAGGAGATGGCGTCATCCCCATCAAAGTAGAGCACATCAGACCCTGGGTGATGAAATCTGGCTTGAAATCACAACACTACCAGGGACAGATGACCAGATTGCCCACACCCCATTTCCACCCTCCTGCCAGAGACTTCATTTTTCTGCCCCAAGGACAGCCCAGCCGAGAGTAGACTCCTTGTTACCTTCCTGTCACAGCCACAGCATTGAGACTGGTTCCCATTTTTGGTCAGCCATGCACAAGTCCTGTATCCCCGCCCCACCTGTCTCTGCACCCATCCAGAGCAGATCCAGCCCTCAGACAGGAGGAGACTGCCAAGAAATAGGCTGTGTGACATGACAGGATTCACAGAAGCTTGGGTCATGGGAAATCAAGGCTTTTCAATCCTAACACAAGAGGCCTACCTGCAGGAACCACCCAACCCAATGCTTTGTTGACTGTGCAAGGCAGATCTCATGATACTGAACTGACCTTACATTACAGGATGAGTGCTGAATCAAGGGGCCCAGCACACAAGAAGCTTTAGCCTGTCACATGGCCTTTCAACCAGGACATGGGTGAGCAAAGGCTGGGAGTCCCCAGGACAGAGAAGCAGATGTCTAATGATGCTTGTAAATACTGCCAGCAGATCCTGCCTTACTCCTTTTGTAAAGCTTTTACTGGAATGAAACAGGTCCTCTGGCTCATGCTTTTTAGGACCATGTGAGACCGTGTGATCCCTGGGCAACTGCACCTCCCAGGCCTTGGCATTTGTGGATGCAGTGTTTGAATATTCTGCAATAGCAGCTCTTCTCCCCTTATGGTGTAATTTCCTTTGGGATCTAACTTGCGGAAGAACTGTGCTAGGTTTCAAACCACATGGGAGACATTTACAAACAGCTGGTGCAGGGCCCAGCTCATGCCATGCTTCTCAGGACAAATCAGTGTTGAAGGGTCAGGACATAGGTGACATACTGGGGGTGGGGAACATGCCCCCCCCAGATTTCTGCGCCAACAGCAGGGTGAAGGTGCTGATGGCAGGGCTACAGCCTGGCCAAAGCCAATGCCTAGCGGCAGCAGCACACACTTCTCCCCCCTCCCCCTTCCCCCACTGCCAACACTTACATATTGCCTATGGCAAGGGTTCCCAACCTTTTTATGCCAAGGACTGGCAAACCTCAGACTGAAAGTGACCAGCATACTGCAAGGAGGCAGACAACTCATTTTTGTACTTAGTATGAAAAAGGGTTGGGCTGCCGGTTTGCAGTATGCCGGTCACTTTCAGTCCACAGTTTGCCCGTCTGCAGTTTGCTGGTCTGGCAGCCAGCCCTTCTGCAGACCAGCAGCCAACCCTTTGCGGCCTGGCACTGGGCAGCAGCCCAGGGGTTGGGAACCCCTGGCCTCTAGGGTTCCATGATGCGACTCACCTGCTTTGCTCCAAGATTGGCACATGCACTGCAGTTTCCAGAAGGTGGGGCTGCAGCTCAGCTCTGGGGGCATCACGGAGCTGAATGAACTCCCCTTCATTTTATCCCCAGTCACCTGCAAGCCCACTGGCTGTGCTCAGCCTAGACTGTGATGGGTACCAAGGAAGGGATGTGGCTCAAAGTCAAGCCAGCTCTCCAGTTTACTGACCTCACATCCCCCACCTCTCCATAAACCTTAGATTCTCCTGTGCAGGGGCTAAGACCCTCTTCCTGCTCCTCTGGCCTGGGGTGAGATGAAGCACCTGTGCAAGTGGCCAGGCAGAGCCAGCCCCATCATCCTGTCCCAGCCCTCAATCCCCAGGGCCCACTCACTCACGGTAGGGGCAGCCAAAGAGGCCCAGGCGTAGCCCAATCTTGCCACTGGGGTTCCAGCCCACCGGGATGATGCGGAGGTAGCGAGCCAGGATGGGGTAGTGCAGGTCATGGATCACCACACCACTCTCATTCACGTTCCCAAAGAACGTCTGGGGAAAAAGGCCCGAGGTCAGCAGAAGCCCCGCACTCGTGTGACAGCCAACAATCACCTCCTTCCAGGGCAGTCACACTCCCAAGCTCTGGGACTGTGCCCCTATGGTTCCCTCACTAGCTCTTCCTCACTCACTTTCACCATTTGTGACAGGAAGCACAGGAAAGCCCAGGAGCTGAGGCTATCCAGCCCATGTGCCATACCCAGCTGCCTTTGAGGAAGGTGCAAGAGCCCAGAGTAGGTCACGGCCCCTCCATTTGGGCCCTTCCTTGTCTAATACCCAGAAGCTGGTTTCAATTGGAATCAGGAGGCATACTGTCCCCCTGCACTGACTGTGGGCACCCCAGGCCCCCAGAGTGTGAACCCTGGGGAGGCTTACCCTGGCTGCCCTCTGTGGGTCATGTGTGAGGGGAAGCTTTTACCTGCCCACCCATTCCATTTCAGGAGCTGGGATGGGGAAGACAGCTGCTCCCCAGCTCCTGACAGATGGACTCTTTTCACATGCCCATGGGAGCACTCCAGCATGTAGCAGGGAGTCTACAGGACCACCTGACTCCCAGGAGGGGACAGAAACAACATCATACCCAGTTACTCCCTCGCTGAAAGAAGGGCTTCCAACTGCTTGGGTGGTCTCCATAGAGTACAATGTAGTGAGTAAGCCAGTCACGTGTGTTGTATGTCCCCTGCGTAGCCACTGCATTGATCATGTGCTTCTGCATCAAGTCAATCTGGAGCCAGGGCTGCTTGTCCCTGGGGTCTGGAGACCAGCCACTGCTGCCTGCACAAGGAGGAATGGTTAGAGCTCAGCCCCATAGCCCAACCTGGCTTTGCCTGCTCAACCCTCTGTGCTTCCAAGACCAGTGGCTCCCTCCCACTTCACTGCTCAGGGCAGGGCCCCCTCATCCTAGGTGCAGAGTTATGGGTTCCACAGCATTGAGGCTGTGGTCAGAGCTGCTCAAGACAGCAGGGGCAAGTGCTTGAGGGAATCTACAAAGCCCCATTCCAGGAGCATGTCAGGGCAGCAGGGGTGGCCCCAAAGGGTCCCTTGCCACACGGTGTTGGGACCTCAGGACCATTGCTCAAGGTTCTGAAGACCAGGCAGCTTGCTCTGCTCTTCCAAAGACCAAACAAGGAAGAAATCCCCTGGGAGCCTGGCTCTCATTCTCAGGCTTTCTTGCTATTGCTGCCTGCAACATGCCAGTGTCCTGGAAACTCTTAGGGCCTCAAGTTAAAGGCTGGGATCCCAACCCCAGGCAGGTGGGCAAGACTTACTGTAGAGCCGGGCAAAGCCAGGTGTGTAGAGGATGTTGTATCTGGAGGAAGCACCGAGGGACGAAGAGTAGAGGGGAGCGACCAGGTCATTGTAACAGTGTCCTGTGGGGGAGAGGCTGTAGTTAAAGCTGCCCTGCCCAGACTGGCACATCCCCAACACCTCTCACCACCTCCCAGTGACAGACTCCACAGAGAGGCTCAAGGCTGATGGGACCTGCTGCACACCAGGGCCAGTCCCATGGCTGCAGTGCTCTAGCGGGACCTCCCACAGCAGGGAAAGGACCTCTCCCACTGTGAGAAGTGTAGCCCAAGGTCTCCTCCTGACATGGGTCCCAGATGCTGAGTCTGCTCCTGTACTGCCCCCCTGACTTTTTCATCAGCATCCAAGCTACACTCAACCCCCTGTATCATACAGTCTGCACCCCTGTGGCACCTGCAGGCATGCAGCTTCAGCCACAGTCTTAGACAGCCTCAGGCAACACTCAAGAAAGTCCTGTTTTAAAGCCCTTGACCCTGGCTGGGGCAGGAATCTAGCCTCCCAGGACTTTGTGGGATCTGGTACTTACAGGACAATGGCTTGGCTCATTTGTAGGAGAGTGTGCAGCTGCGTGCACATCTGGCAAAGCAAACAAGAAGTCTCTGGCTCCAGTGGAGCATTCAGCACCTGCTCAGTCCATGAGCAGGAGATGACCCAGGCCTACACTAGGCTGTAAGTGACAGCTCCAGAGGGACATTAATGCTGAAGCCAGCCTTTGCCCCAATGCTGAAGATCCAACACTTCAATGCACCCTTTCCTCCTGCCCCTCTTCCAGCCACTGTGAAGCTCATTTGAGTCTGTGGAGCAGCAGTACACCCCTGACCTGCTGTAGGCTGGTATCCCATGTAAAACATGCCATGCACACATGCCACACATACATCCCATGCACATGCCAGTCATCTTGGAGCAGAAAATCTTGTTTACCGGGACTCTATCCCCTGTCTAGCAGGCAGGGTCCAGGCTGTGCAGGAGAGGGGGAAAGGCACATTGCAGGGACATGTGGAGCTGCCATTGACCCAGGGGCAGCCAACAGAATGAGGATGGACTTTGCCCATTAGGTCCTAGAGGGATGCCACAGCCTGTTCAAATGAGCAAGGACAAATGATGGGTAGCCCTGGGACCCTGGCAAGAGTGGAGAACAGCCACAGGGTGGGAGCATCCCAGGCTAGTTTCCAACTGCAGAGATGGGACCACCACTGAACTGGCTTCACCTTGACCTAGAAAACAATCTCTCCTGTCCAACCCCCCACGCACTCAGCAGGATGAACCTGTGTCAGGCAGAGGCTGCTGATGCGGTGGGGGCTCCTAGGCTGCCTACAGATAGGGGCTTGCTACAGATGCTTCAGCACTAGACAGACTGGGACCATTGCTTTTTGCAAAACAAAGCTTTGGGAGGGGTCTGCTCTGTGTGGAGCTGCCCCTCCCCCTCCCCGGTTCAACCTAGGACACGCTCTGCGCAGAGCTCCAGTTCTGCTTTGCTCACTGAAGCAGCAGAGCAGCTCCTGGTTGCTCTCACTCCCGGTTTTTTCCTCCCACTGCAGAGTGTTGACACACCTCTGCAGGCATAGATGCTGCCTGCACCAGCCAGCCAGCCGCCAGCTGGCCAGCCAGCCTCCACACTGAAGGCTCTGACATACATGAGCAGGGGGGCAAGTGATGGGAGCCCCTCACTTAATTCTGCCAGCTCGCAGGCCCAGTTCACACTGCGGCGCAGTGCAGGGGGTGTGCTGGAAAGGGTCTGGGCTGCCACAGCCTCTGCTTGTGGGGAGCCGGAGGCCTGGCAGGGAGGAGCCTATGCTAATTTATTTGGCCTCTGCAGAGGACTCCAGATAGGGCTGGGCTGGGACTGGAGTGGGGCTGGACACATCCAATATCATGGAGACTGGGCCTAGCCCCTGCTCTCCAGGGGCCTTGACAGAGCAGTGTACAACCCACTGCAGAGGCTTCAGGCTGAAGGTAGGATATCAGCTGGGAGAGCCGTTTCCTCACTCCCTCTTCTGTGCTCCTAGCAGCACTCTAGCTGCTTACATGTACCCCCTGCCCTTATCCCTCCCTCAGTTGTGCTGGATCCAACAATACAGTAAGCAAACAGGAACAGCACAGGGGGCTACACTAATTGCTCAGCCTCCAACTCCCCCAACTTTTAAGTCATGCTCCTCTCTCAGTCCAGATGGCCCACAACCTTACCTGGTTTCTACTAAGCTGCAGGGTGTAACTCTGAAACCCTCCAAGCCCTCTGGGATGTGAGGGGTTAATTCCAGCATGGGACCATGCAGGACACCCGAGGGCACCAACCTGCATGAGCTGCAGGGGTTGTACTATTAGTATCAGCATGAACTGTGCTTTGCCTGGGCCATGCTAGGATCCAGCAGACCAGGCTCAAACACTCACCCCAGCTCCAACCTAGGGGAGCAGAGTAAGGCTGTCTGGACAGCCTGTCAGGGCACCTGCCCTAGCTCATGGCAAAAAGCAGCCATTGCAAGGCAACCCCATAGCTCCTAGCATACTTCATAGGGCTGGGGCTGAGCCCTGCAGAGGGTAGACCCCCCCCCCTTGCACCCTAGAAGGTGTTGCCTGGAGCTGGAGAGGGGAGAATGGGAGGAGAGGAATACCTGCAGCTTACTTGAGACCCAGAGGGATTTGGCACAAGGGCTCAGGATTCCCTGCTACCCAGCTCTGTGCTCAGATCTTGGACCCTGCTACCTGGGTACCAGAGGGAGCAATGGCCACATGGTCTTGCCATCAGCTTTCCCCAGGCATTCAGCCTTGTTTCTGCTGACTCCAGGGATGCAGACAGGCCCAGATGCTTGCCTGAATCCTAGTGGTCTTGGCTGGGGAGCTAGAGCCCTGGGATGGGTAATGGCAGACAGCAGGGGAGTCAGGCTGCAGCTGCTGCGTCTCTCCAGCCCACCCTGCCAGCCCCACCTCAGTCTGCAGGGTCATCATCCACACTTGCCTCGCTCTTTGGTCTGGAGCAAAGTGCCCTGCAACCACCCAAAGGGTCTCACCCACGGAGAATCTCAAGCTCTGGCAAAGCTTCCAGACCTTGTGGAAGGGCCACTGAATGACTCTCAGGGCTGGTACGCACATGCTCCTGACCCTGCCTGCCTGGAGCCTGTCTCTCCTGCCCCATCACACCAATCCACCACTGCCATCTCCCCTGCCTGGCAGGCTCCAGCTCCCTCCTGCCCACCAGCAGCCCTCGCAGAAAGGCCTTGCACTCACTCCACCTGCCAGCAGATCACTCCTGAGGGAATGGGAATTGCCTGTTTCTACACAGCAGAAAGACCCTGCCTTAGCAACCCGTCCCACCCCCACGTCAGCAGCACAGCCCTGCCGCAGGGCCCCCAGGCAAGGCCTACCACCCTGAGAGGCCTGGAGCGGCATTACCAGCCTGCTGGGCCCCCACAGGGCATGACTAATCGGGGGGCCTGGCTTTAAGCTGCTGGCACAGCCCAAGGCAGCAGCGGCCTCCATGGAGAACCCGGGCAGGGCTGGGCAGGCTGCGGCCCTGGCATGAGGCCAACCCCTCCGGGCCCTTCAGGAGGATGCTGCGAGGTGCAGTCGGAGGGCGGGGTAGGCTCTTCTCTGTGCCCCTTGGCCTCCTCCCCGTCCCCACCCCGTGGCTGGGCGACAGCAGGGGGCTGCAGTGTCGCTCCCCTCAGCGCCCCGCTGGCTGGAGCCCGCCAGCCAGGCAGGGCGGCTGGGAGGATGCTCCGGCGCTGGGGCGGCTGCTGCCAGCATGCCCCCTAGGCCCCTGCAAGCAGCAGCAGCAGCAGCAGCAGCAGCAGGGACCCCCTCCCCGCCCGGCCTGCGGGGAGAGGGCGCGGGGGGCGGCTCGGCGCCCCCCTCGCC